TTGTTGTCCTAGCCTTTAACTTTAACTATGATTTACCATATTGATCACTATGAAAACTGTGATTTATACTATAGTGATCACTGTGAAAAATTCTATTTACTGTAGTGATCACTTTGACACTATGAAAACTTTGAAATACTTAAGTGTTCACTTTGAAAACTTTGATTTATTAAAGGGTTCAATCAAATATACTTTATACCAATGTATTTAAGATGGTAACTCTATACATCTTGTTTACATACTTGATGACATTAAATTATTTTATTTACTAATATATAAAAGGCCAATTGAAATAAAAGTCAAACAATATTCATTCTACAAATGTTATCAAGTAGAAGTCTTTGATAACCATAATTTTTTTTTGTTTTTTTTTGAAAAGGTATAAAATTAAAAATAAAATTGAATGCAAAAAAATGAATTGCATGCAAAGTTCATGGAATTATTTGAAATAGAATGTAAAACAGAAAATTATATAAGGTAGTGCATGAAATAAATTTTAAACTTTCAATTTCTAGAGGCTTCATGTCGAAAACCCATAATGCTGACTATGAAACTTTGATTTGAAAAAGTGTAAACGTTAACACTTTGAATTACCATAGTGATCACTATGAAAACTTTGATTTACTATAGTGATGACTATGAAAACTTTGATTTACTAAAGCAATAATTTTGACACTATGAGAACTTTGATTTACTGAAGTGATAACTTTGAAACTCGGATTTACTTTAGTTTACTATAGTAAACTGTATTTAACTATAGTTAAGTATAGTATTTTTTTGTTAGGGAGGTTCTTATAAACTCCCAATCTCTAAAGCTAACGGAAGGTGTAAATTAATCGCTTTTGAAAAACGTTATTTTGATATCAAAACTGGATAGACGGCTAAGTAACTTCATTTCATCTAATTTATCATTCATAAATGCAGATACACATGGTTTCTAGGAATAACTACGGAAAAAAGTGATCTACGTAGATTGTATGTTTGCATGATATTCCTTAATAACACTGTTCACACCTACTCTAAGGATTGTATCCGGAAAAGAGGCTATATAATTTACAGGAGACTAAAAACTGATATACGTATTTATAAATCGGGACTAACATAATAAAAGCACAATTCTGACGGCAAAAATCGCGCGTCTGTGGACAGGTAACCGTAATGATCTAAAGGCAACAAACCGACAGCCGTACATCTGGGTTCTAATTTAACTGATGTGTGAATCTTTACCCTTCTCTCCACAATGACGAAGTGTTTAATTAATTAGACTTTTTTGGAAAGACATTTTGTACCTGAATAATGTATAATTATTTTGTTTGCTGATCAAATTAGTAGGTATTGTAAAGAATGACAGGTTCACCAGCACCTCGTTATCAGACTCTATTTTGACATCAGTTTTTCTCACCTCTGTCAAAGCTTAAAGAAACCTTTCTAATCGGAAAGTGTTGGTTGATCTTCTGTTTGTTTGTCTGTCTGTGTGTGTCTTGTTTTTCTATAAACTTTGCCAATTTTCACTCTCCAGAACCACCTGCTAAATTTCCACCAAACTTAGCACAATGAATTCTCCTCCCTCGATTCTTTAATACTTAATACAATGCAACAGAAGTTGACCTTCACGACTTTTTTAATGATGCAGCCATAAAGTCTAGTCCCTCCAAGGATAACAAAACATTTTATTGTTTCTTTATTTTATTAAATATGACCTAATTTTGTGCTAGTCTTTAGTTCATTTTCCTTGTTTTTTAGCTCCTATTTTTTGAACTAGCCTTTAGTACCTTTTCTTTGATTTTAGCTCCTATTTTTTTTACGAGTTGATGGAACATCAACTCAGTTCCGCTCTTACTCAGGTTTTCCTGCATTGCAACCAAAGAACACAGCTCATTTATTTAGTTCCTTCTTCAATAATTTATCTTTGATTTTGAAAAATTCAACATAAATGAAAACGAACTTATTTTTTGTACACATTATACCGTTTCTTCTCAAAAAGCAAATTCATATTAGGTATACACAATATCATTTTTATCGAATTTCTTTATTTTGCCGGTTCGACAAAAATATAGTGTACTTTAAACCGCTGAAGAAACAAAAGTGTATTTCGAAACTTCTCATATTCCTATATATACATATGTGCAGAGTCTATTTTTTAAAATTTCATTTTTTCTCAAACATATGATGTATTACATGAATCACTTAAAATGCTGAAAGAAAGGGTTGAGATTAAAATCTGACTGAACTATTTTTCATCTTCCTACGCACCACACTGTTTTGTTTGTAAACAACAATAAATGCACATTGGCACGAAAAATCGACAGTGTTACTTCAAAAGAAAAAGACTTAAATTGATGCATACTTGGAGGGATAAAGGAGACACAATAAGGTAATTAAATTTATGCATTTATTTATTTAGTTATATGTAATTCTAACAAATAATTAAGCTAAGTCTGTTAGTTTATCGATAGTCATACTGAACGAGTATACGTGTTGAATGTTTATATAGCGCCATCTTCTCACTGCTAATGGCTCGGCTTTGTACAAAAAAACTTTGTACAAGACGATACAGAGTCTATTAATTCAAAAAGCTATTTGTTTATTTAAAGAGCACGACTCTTACTACATGTATTAAGGCTGAGGTTGACCTGGTGAAATAGGCGAAACTTATCTCCATCACTGTCAGTGTAGCTGATAAGAACTGCACTGTGCAATGTCAGCTCTGTTTACAAATTGCCCATATAATATTCCAATCCATTTTGTACGTCATTAAATAAACAAATTGTACAACTGAAACTTGTGCACTCTCTGAATCTATATCATTGATCAATTAATTTTGAAACAATTCGATCTGCTATATATACACATATACATTAATCACAAGATATAAGATTCTCGAACATAAAAAAACTATTAATGTAAATCTCATTTCAAACAAATACTTGCAGTTTTATGTTATCGTCATTTTACTTTGGAAACCATTGTTTGAAAATATGATTTGACAACAAAGTAAATACTGAAAAAGAAACATTTTATTTATTTTCGAAACAGCAACATATTTACATTAATTAATCCGATCATTAACACACGAATAGGCACTGCCACATGGTCTATACCAAAGTATTAAATATAAGTGCCTAATTTAAAAGGGGAACAACTCAATTTTCTCTTAGAATTAGTATAAAATTTTAAGTGTTTTGGTTAATTTTGGTAAGACAATTATTTTATGCATATATAATCTACTGGTAACAAATGATTAAAAATGAATAGAAACTTTGTATACATTTTAAAGTAAATTAATTAATATCTGTCTATGCAAAATGCTTACTTGAAAAAAGAGGCTTGTTAAAAAATTACCTACCGTAATGTTGACAAGTTTTTCCAGACTGGCTGAGAAATTGAGAATTTAATTTAAGAGCTAAATAATTGTATTTTGTCTGGTTTTTAAATGTGAGTAAAGCATGGAAAAGAGGAGAAATTTCTTAAATTTCACAACAAGAGGGAATTCCAAAAATCCTGGAAATTAAGAAAATTAAACTTAATCAAATATTTGATATTAAATCAATAGTCGTAAATATATCAATGCTATGTGCCTCTCAGAACCTTGATTTTACTTTTGTAGAAGCATAAACCACAAAAGGCAGTGCAAAAGAGATGGTCATTGCTTTGTGCCTGTGAAGATATGTATAAACCTTTTGTTGAAGTACTGGAATTTCAAACATAGATATATTGAAGAATTCAGCTGGCTGTGTTTTGTATGTTGGAAGACAACCACCCCTTGCTTTCAAATGTGAAGTGAAGAATGCCCATCTTTATAATAAGGACTTTTCCCTTATATAAATATTCTTTGTAAAAATTTATTTAATAACAGCTTATTGTGTTTTTCTTTTGAAAGAAAATGACTTTCGTCAGCCATGAACCTCAAATCACTTGACACTATTTTAGTGTTTTGGCGCTGTGATATATTCTAGGTTTAAAATACATACTAGGTTTAAAATACATGTATCAACCGACACAGACTGTTTAGATTTTGCAATATTATCATTATCACCTTTTCATTTAGAATACAGGTTTAATCATCAAGCTCCAACGTTTGATTACTTTTACTAATGGTGTCAGGTTAATTTTTAGCTGTTCCTTTTGAACCATGGTATAAGGTCCATGACACTGATTTTTAGAATTACTTATTTGTTATAACTTAAACTGCGAAGTTTATAATGTGTCGATGTCACTTTATGTTGATTATATTAATTTGACCCTGTGTATCATGATTGTATTATTACTTTCATTATTGTATCATTTATTTGTAAATCTGAAACATGGATACTGTATTAAACTTATGGTATTAAGATTATATTTTTTGTTTTTGCTTTCTATATTTGAAAATGTTTGTGTCAATTATGAAATATTTACGGACAAAGAAAAATTGACATTGACTTTCTAAAAATTCATTCTCTTGTACTGTTTATTGGCTTACTACACTTCAAACTGGAAGACCAGAATAATGTTTTAAAAATTGACATTTTTATACGTGGTATAATACTAGTCATTGATTATAAAAAATGTAAAATGAATACTTGCTGCATACACACTAAGGAATGTCAAAAATTGTGGTTTTAATATACCTTTAGATAGTTGTGCAAGTGCATTTCATTTGTTAAAATAAGGCAGCAATGCTCAATGAATGTATAACTTGTATACATTTATACTGTAAAAAGAAAGAAATATTGTTTTCTTATATTAACACAAAGTATTATTTGTTAATTGGATTTTAAAATACATTGCATCATGTCAAAAAATTGACATCAGAAATAAAATGGAAATTTAAATTTCTGTTTCTAAAGAGACATTTCAATTTTTCATCACTAAAGCAATACCCATTAGCTAAGCTTGGGCAACCATCAACTCGTATCAGTACTTTCAGTACTTTGATTGTCCTAGTCTTTAGTTCCTTTTCTTCTTGCTTAGCTCCTATTTTTTGTCCTAGCATTTAGTATCTTTTCCTTGTTTTTTAGCTCAGTAAAAGTACGTTTTCTTTACGTGAGAGGGACTGTAGCAGTGAAGGCACTGGGGTACTGAACTACACACAGACTGCAGAATACAACGGCCAGACAGTGGCACTCAAATCCAGCCAGTTATCCAGCATTCAGCTAAGCATGACCAATCTCATAGAACTCAAAGCTGTACAGTGTTTTTTTTTTCTGATTTTGTTCAATTTCTTAAAAAAAACCCCAACAATATTAATTACGGGAACTCTCTTTACATGTGATGATACATTAACAAAAAGATGACACAATGGTACATTGTTGCTTTTAGATGCGGGAGTTTTTACATGCCAATGTGAATCCCTTTGTTGGAGCTTGCATTGATCCTCCCAATATCTGCTGCCTCTTTCTTTATGGCACCAAGGGGAGTCTTCAGGTACATTTGCTCTTGAAGATATTTTATTGATAGCTTTATTAACAGCATTCACAATATACATTAAGTTCCATTCATTGAAAAACAAGATAAGTGATGAATATAGATAAATTTGTTTGTTATTCATGACTTTGGAAGTTAAAAATAGTTTCTCTTTCAGTATATTATGATGATTTTTATAATGTTCAGTCCCAAATACACACTGAAAAGGACTGGATATTTTATGCATTAATATTTTTCCACGGTAAATGTTTAATATTTTTTCAAGGTTTTTCTATTTCTTTAGGATGTATTGGAAAATGATGATATTAAGTTAGAATGGGCTTTCAAAGTTACAATACTGAAAGACATCGCTTTGGTAAGATTTAATATTGAATATCTTAAGACAGGGCTATTTTCTTTTGTTTTAATTCTATACCCAGTCAGACATTCTTGTTTAAATTCAGGGAATGAAGTATCTCCACACATCAGTCCTGAAATCCCACGGTCGACTTAAAAGTTCTAATTGCATCATCGACAACAGATGGACCGTGAAGGTTACAGATTACGGTGCATCTGCTTTCTACAAACAAGAGGGTGTCGCAAATATTAAAAAAATGGAGGATTTCAAAGGTTGGCTTGGAACAGACATTCATCATTAACAATGAAGTTACTCCGTCGACTAGAAAGAAATCAAATGTACTGAATGAGGAATTTTCTACTTTTTATTATCAGTGAATATCATTCAAAATTTACATGTCCTTTCATAGCAATATTACTTCGTGCAAATCTGAATGTAGACTCCTTTGGGGATATATGTCACTTATTTACATTCTTGTATAATTCTTTATGCTCATTAAAGGCATGTGTTTTTTTTTGCGAAAGCCATCAAAATCTGGTTGTTAATCAAAAGCAGACGTCATGATTATACGTTTTTTTTTGCTATTCTGTTGTTGGATTTGGTAAGAGTAAAAAAATGACTTCGAGTAAAACTTTATAAAAAAAAAAAAAATAGGAGGAAAAACTCATAAATATACAGGTTAATGTGAACAAAATTCAATTTGAAAAGAAAAAAAAAATGAAATTGATTGTCAATGCATTCAAAAACAATCTTTTGATCAAATTCAAGGTAATGTCATATCCCAATAATAAAGAAAGCCAAAACAATATCTGAATTTTCAAAACTACAGAGTATAATATAAGATACTGCCGATTCTACTTAAATAAATGGAGTGTATCTTTAACATTGCTCTCCTAAACCATTAGAGTTTGATAATCATACATTAGTACAGCATCACATATTGCAACTTATTGATGTTGCTATCATGTTCATTTCTATCCAGATTTGTTATGGACTTCTCCGGAAATATTAAGGTTTGATGGCATTTTCCCCAGGAATGGTACAAGCACTGGCGATGTATATAGTTATGGTATCATCATGCATGAAACGTTTTACCGAAACGGTCCATTTCCAGTAACAGGAAAGACACCGAGAGGTATCTTTGATTTTAATTAATCAATGTTTATAATGACCTTGGAACGATAACACCGAATGCTTATTATTTGATTTTCTTATTCCTACCTATAAAAAGGAATCTTATATTGTTCGTCCGTCCTATATATCGTTTGAAAAAAAGGAATTAGCTTGGGGAAATAGTATTTTTATGGTCAAGGAAATATTTTGATTTGATACTTGTCAGCAAATACAATCTTTCATGAAGTCGAATACTGACTGACTTTTATCATACTAGCTGTTAGGCCCTTATTTACACTCTGAATTGTCCACGGATTTTTCTGTCTACCCGATCATGACAAGGAGCACACGGCGGGTGTGAACGGTCGATAGGTAATGATTACTCCTCCATGGCACCTGATTCCATCTCTGATTTTTAGAGGTATATGTTTGCTCTGCTCCCGAATTGTATTGTCTAATTGGACTTTTGAGCTTGATTACTGTTTATTATCTCCATATTTCACGTCCATGAATTAAAAGATTCATGAAATCTCTTTATTATTATCATCATTACTAAAATGCATTATGTTTTATACGGAACTGCTTGGACTTCTCTACTTGATTATAAGTCGTTTTACATCCCGGTGAACTTTTTTCTTAACATCCTAGAGAAAAGCTTCTCAACAAAACTATGGTTGTTTATTGTGTTACATGTAAACCTTTTGCCACTGGAAGTTAAGGGTTTTAAGATTTCCATATATAAATTACACATACAATACTAGATGTTTGGCAAGGCAAGCTTCTATTTATATTAAGTCATGGGTCTGTCAGGTAGAAGACGATCTCATCACTCGTGGTACTCCTCTCTTATTACTAAATGACTCATCTTAGAGGTGCACTGTCTATTAAACAATATCTTGTTGAGATGTCATTTATGTCATAGTATTAATGTTATGATAAAGAAAAAAAATATATGTACTTTATGCTAGCAAAAACCACCTTCAACCTTCCTGTCACCTTGATTTTTTATAAAGCAAAACACAAATTGAATAATAAAATACATTTATGACTCTAACAGACGATAAAGAAATAAATTTGAAAAATGCTTGTGTTTTTGATTTTTTTTTTCATTCTAGATATAGTAAAAGCAATTCACAGTGGTCACTCCTATAAACCGGAAATTTACACGTCCGAGGTCATCAAACCTCAAATGCTGGAGTTAATGGAGATGTGTTGGGATGACGACTGGCGAAAGAGACCCGATTTTGTCAGCATAATAAAATTTATCCGGGATAATAACTCAGAGGCGTAAGTTGTTGGCTAAATAAAATTTATCTGGGATAATAACTCTAAGGCGTACGTTATTGGCTTAATAAAATTTATCCATGAAGATAACATCGGTACATTAGTCATTGGCATAATAAAATTATCTGGAATAATGACACAGAGACTTAAGCCAAAGGTACAATAAAATTTTTCCGGATGATTTAAAAGAAGAGACAAAAGTTATAAAATTATCCGGAATAATAACACATGCAGAAGCTAAAGTTATTGACATAAAAAACTATCCGGGATAATAACATAAAGCTAGAAGCCTAAATCAAAATTAAAATACCTAAAATTAACAATTTAAACTCAGAAATGAATGAAATGTTTAGTGAAATCTCTATCACTATATATTGCTGAAAAACTGTACATCATTTGTATATACAATTTCTTTCACAGATGTTTAGTCCAACGATGTCTGCTATTTCGATTATATTGAGACTTTCTTGTTCCATTGAGTTATTTTCAAAATTTTCCTAAAACTCACATAGTTAAAGTCATATACTTGCGAGTTAGAAAACAAAATCTCAGGTTAATATTTTATGGATTGTTTTGGAACATCATATTTCAAAATATGGATATGTATTGCGGCATAACCGTTGGAGCACATGACTGTATATAATTTTGTCACTTTTGATTGAAATCCCTGTGTACAATTTGCAGATTCCATTAAGAGTATAGTTACTACTTGACCACAGACCATTAATCGTATTTTATTTTCTAGACCCTAAGACGAAGAAGGAAAACATGAGCTTTTCCATTAACTCAACGTGAAGCTATTATCAATAATGACAATTATATTTGCAATCCATCGTTTACCTCTAAGATGTGGTCATTATCAAATATTTTGTCCTTTGATCCACCTGGCAATCAAGTTTCCATTGGTTGTACAAATTTGAATAACAGCATGCAAATGCAAGATTTGTTAATACTGACTATATGTAATAACACACTTACATTAAAGATGTTCTATAAACCATACTTAATTTTTAAATGTATTTTGAAATTCATGTGAGTTTCAGAAACATACATGGCTGTACAAATACATCTCCAGATGCAACAACTATTCATATTTGAATTAAACTTACTTCTGGTACTCATTTCGAATGCCTTTGCTTCAAACATTTAAACTTGATATTATTGCTTAACAAGAGAGGATAGTCACATACAGTAATCGAAGGATCATTAGTGATAATTTACACGTCTGCAGAATATACATGTAGGTACATGGGAAAAACAGTTTAAAAACTTTAACCTGTTAACTTTTTCAGAAAATATGGCCTTCGTGCGACAATGAATAAATGGTAATATGGAAAGCATTCCATGATATAACATGAATATAATTCTACTAAAACTGGACATTTAGTTGCTTGGAAAAAGACAAGCTTTCTCTACCAAATATCACAAATGTAGCTTTCAAAAGCAAACTTTAAGTAGTAATGTGGCAAGATATGGCAGCATCTATGCAAGACGAATCAAGGTACATGTACTGATACTTGGGAATGGACGGGGTTTCTCACTTACTTAGAAAATAAACCTCTGATGAATTATTCAATTTATAATTGATAGAAGGCAACATTTGTGTTTTCAACCATGTAATGTTAACAGTAGAAATTATTGCTGTTCGTTAGTGAAACTAAATACTAGTACCCTCTCTTCACTAGGTCCCTGATCTGATCTCCTCTTTCGATGCGAGCAAAAAACTTTCCTTGCTGGAGGACATTTTGGGTTTTGGCTCTGAAATTTTTAGAAAGATTTTTTTAAAATTAGATTTCGATAGGGAATCTTACCATTCAATATCATCTTCTTAAAGTAACACATTTTCACTAGAAATCTATAGCAGAATTTTAATAACCCTATCACTCTGTAGAAGAAGAAATTAGAGCAAAGATAATGAGAATTTTAAAATGATTACAAGCATTTTAACCTGATTTCCACGAATACTGGAGGGAGTTTTTTTCTTTGTCTGTGGCTTTCGTGGAAGCTATTTTCAGCAGTATTAATAACATCGTACATGAATGGACGTGTCTAGAGAAGTATATATACAGTAAATATCTGCAGAATGAAATAAAATAAATAATATTTACTATAATAAAACAAAACACACAAGCAAACTTCTTTTGCGAGTTAGACACTAGCAGTCATGTAGACAACATTTATCTTCTCTTAGACACTAGTACTCATGTAGACAACATTAATTATTTCTTCATTCGTATTACGTTAAACATTCCCTTAGTAATGAAGTTCAGAATGGACTCGATTCTAGAATAAAGATTTTTATTTCGTTCTTTGACCTTTTGTTATAAAATGTTTGTGATATAGCTGTATCTTTTTTCAGTGCGTTTACAGCTTAGAGTAAATCTGTCATTAGTTAAATGTCCGCTTAATGACACTTATATAATTTATAAAATAAGACTATATAAGCATATATGTATGTAATTTAGACTTTTCTTTACAAACATCATTTAATGATGAAAACAACTTAGAAAAAATTAGATATATACCAATTAATGAGCAGAACTAATATCATTCGACGGTCTTTGATCTATCTTCAAACGATAGCATAAGTATTGGTAATGAACATGTAATTACTCTTTTTCAGTAGGTTTGCATGATTTTATTCGAATTAATCTTTTTTCGATTGCCAGGGGCGTGAGTATAATTGACTCCATGATAAACATGCTGGAAACGTATGCCAACAACCTAGAGGACCTCGTAGAAGAGAGAACAGTCTCATTAAACGAAGAAAAAGATAAAACAGATCGCCTACTTTACCGGATGTTACCAAAGTGAGCACATATCGGGAGCAAATCAACTATCATCATGTCACACATTATGGACTTTATAATTTAATCATTCCTTACTTGAAACAAACAAAACAATAGTATTGCAGAGTGAAATAAACTTTATTTATTAAGGTTTATTAGCTCTTTGTCTCTTGCAAGAGAAACAACCCTCGCTTATAGTAATGTTTATTATTCCCTTAAGAAATGGTCAAGTGAAAACGTGATTTCTGTCAAATTCTGCACCGCAAGATATTCTGATATTGTTTACTTTTAATTTTATTTTAGATTCCCTTAGTAAAATTGTTATTATTAAGGCGTAATTTTATGCAACAGAGGGATGATTGACAGTAATGAGTACTGTAGAGCATTGTTATAGTCTACACCACAGCGGGCATTCCTTAAACATATAGTCTAGTCTTTACACTCATTCTTTTTGTATGAAATATGAAGAAAGCGCACGGTAATCAAGCTTTATAGTCCATTGTATTAATGCAAATTTAAAGCAGAGCTAACGCCGACATCTAAAAACATTAATTGTGGGATCAGGGGCATACAAACACGTCATTTTTGTATATTATCTATAGTACTCAAAGTATAAATTTAAAATTTATATTTAAAAAAAACAGTGTGCATAAGAATTTCTTGGTGACTGTTACGGAGAAATGTTGACTTTCTGACGTGTGTCTTGACACAATCTAAAGGCCTTTTGCAAATCATCAAGATTCCTCATCAGATAAAAGTATCAATTATTTTCGTTGGGATTGTCAACGGGATAAACTATTAACTACATACATAAATCATTATACTTCTGATCTGAGAAAATGTTTAAAATCATTTCACACCAAAAGTCCAAATCAATTAAAAAATTGTATAAAAACCTTTTATACAATTAATGCCCTCAGTTATCTTTTAATGTTGTACGAAAAGATACCTTATTTATCTTGGGTTATTGTTTTATGAGCTCGTTAAGATCTTCCAAACTAAATAAGTATATTGATGATAAATCAAGACATATTAGCAACTGTATTACTGAAGTTGTATCAAACATTATTTTTTCATGTATAGATCTGTCGCTGATAGACTGAAGAGAGGAGAATTTGTTGTCCCTGAAGCTTACGAAACGGTTACTGTTTTCTTTTCCGACATCGTCGGTTTTACCACCATCGCAGCTAAAATCTCACCGCTAGATGTCGTTGACTTCCTTAACGAGATTTATACGTTATTTGACGATATAATTTCAAAATATGATGTGTATAAGGTATGGTTTTATTAATATCCCTATGAAGATTGTGTTGATTAGAGAAACTGTTTTTACAATTGTAATTGTACCATTGGAAAAGAATATCCATTAAGAGTTTTGGGGATCACTTGTAAATCTGAATGAAAGTCTCTTTTTGTAAGATAAAAAGAGTCATATCAATAGGAAACAATCTCATGTCCTTTACTTCTAGTATATCAGCTTTATAGTGGCTTTGTAAATGATCTTATAAATTTCACTTTTTGTATATCAAATCTTATGTTACTTACTCAAAGAAGTAGTTTTTGTCCGCCCTATCTTGGGCATAATATGAAATTGTATTCACTTCATGACTTACGCAGAACGTCTTTTGAAAAAAGATGTATGTTTTTTTGCTGTTTTGCATAGTATATTTCTTCTTTAAAAATTTAAAATATCATTCCCATCGCAACCCACCTCCTGTTTACTTATTGATCAATGCAATTCAAATGAAATGCTCTCTCATTAGAAAGGTTTAACAAGGAATTTTAAACTTTCTGATAAAAATTTTTACTACAAAGTAAACGAAGACTCTGTGCTGTATATTTAAGACTGAAAATTATTTTTATCAAATTGACACAGAATTTTTATTACAAATCACTATGTTATATTTTTTCTCAGAGAAAAATAATAATAGCACTTCCAGAATTAATTCCGAAACTTTAAGAGCAAGATTTACTGTTTGTTGTTGCATAATATCTGTCCCAAAAACAGTTCAGTTGTTAACTTTTTTTTATCTATCAGATAGATTGCAATTTAGATTTCATTAGCAATGAAAGATTATATTGAACAAGAACTCAAGCAAAGTAGGTTTTATAACGTCTTGGTCAATATCTCTTCAGGAAAATTTAACTTCTTTTACTTGTACAGGTGGAAACAATTGGTGATGCCTATATGGTGGTCAGTGGTCTACCTGAGCGGAATGGGAATGCTCACAGTGGCGAGATAGCTAACATGTCACTGGCCATATTGGAACAACTCAAACAATTCACGTTAAAGGCTATCCCTGAACAAAAAATAATGGTTAGGATAGGTCTACACACAGGACCAGTCTGTGCAGGTGGGACATAAAATGATAATTGTTTAGTTCTGTTCAATAATATGTAGAATTAACATAAAAAAAACTTGCACAAATACTGTAGCACAGAAACGGTTCCTGTCCTATAACTGGGGACATCCTAAAGACTGTTATATTTACTAAATCTGTTTTATTTTCCGTAGGAAATGGAAGGTTGATTACAATACCTTAAAGAAAATCAAGAGTTACTTACAGTTGTCAGTAGTGAAGTTGATTATAAGTCCTTAATATGATTTACTAGATATCAAGGGTGGTGGGCTTGATTATTAATCCTAAATTCCTTTACTTTCTATCATTAGCTGTTGTATTGATTATAAGTTGTAAATCTGTGGACCTTTTCACAAAAAATCTAACGGTTTTGCTTAAGATTTTAAATAAAGAATCTCTTACGAAAAAACTTAAGTACTTTTCACGAACGCATTCGTAGCAGATTGAACTTAAATTTTTACTTACGACAGACTTCTTCCCTAGCAACGATCTCAAAATGCTTTATAATCCTTTAAAAAGTAGATGAGAATAAAAATGAAGCGAAGTTTTCAACACTTATAAGTGAAACAAACACTAAGCACATCAAAAATCGAGTGCAATTGATTGTGAAGCAAGGAAGTTTGAAATCTGACGTCACAATCACTGTTATCTGTTATATTGTTAAATAAAAATCGGCTCTAAGATATTAACATGAGGGGCAGGACTCTTGTAAAGTTACGACAAATTTTACACATAAGAATCTCGTAAGAATTTTTGTGAGAAGGAACAAAATCGTACGATGAAAATTAAACATACGATTTTTTGTGAAAAGGGCCTGTTTTTTTTTCATTCAGGTGTGTGGGCGATAATTATAAGTCTAGACTTGTTTTATTTATTGCCAGAAGTGATGGTCTTATCTTTTAGTCCTAAACCTGTTTTACTTGTTTTTTACCTGCTGTCATGAGTGATGGGGTTTGATCATAAAGACTTAACCTGCTTTACTTACTTTCATGAGAAGAGATGTTGATCATAAGTCCTACACCTATTTTATTTGTTTTCAGTAGTGATGGGGTTACTTATAACTGTTTACTTGCTGTAAGGAATGATAGATTTACTTATAAGTGTTTGACTTGCTGGCAGGAGTGATAGGGGTAAATTACAACTATTTTACTTGCAGTCAGAAGTGGTGGGGTTAAATATATCTGTTTTACTTGAAACATATGGAGAAAACGAACAGTATTCAAGCTCAAAAGCCAAATAAACAATCCAAAATAGGAGCAGAGCAAACACGGACCACCAAAACATCAGAGGTGGGATCAGGTGCCATGGAGGAGTGAGCATCCCCTGCCGACTGATCACACCCGCCGTGTGCTCCTTGTCATGATCTGGAAAAATCGGTCGACAATTCAGTGTGTAAATAATGGCCTAACAATTAGTATGAAAAAAGTCAGTCAGCATTTGACCCAATGATAAATTGTGTTTGCTGACAAGGTCATTGTATCCACCGTAGAACTTCTACTTGCAGTCAGAAGTGGTGGGGTTATTGATAACTGTTTAACTTGCTGTTAGGAGTAATGGGATAAATTACAACTGTTTTACTTGCTGTCAGGAGTGGTGGGTTTAATTACAATGCTTCATTTGCTGTTAGAAGTGGTGGGGTTACTTATAAGTGTTTTATTTGATGTTAGGAGTAGTGGGGTTACTTATTACTGTTTTATATGCTGTTAGGAGTAGTGGGGTTACTTATAAATGTTGTATGTGCTGTTCGGAGTGGTGGGGTTTTATTTGCTGTGAAAGAAGTGGTGGGTTTTATTTCCTGTTACAGGAGTGGTGGGGTTTTATTTCCTGTGACAGGAGTTGTGGGGTTTTACTTGCATTGCTGTCAGAAGTGGTGGGATTAATTATCGGCCACAGGAGCGGCGATCTATTTGTGGTTGTGTTAGAATGTGCACATGGGGAATTGGGTCGTTATTTTTTCATGATTAGATGGAATTTTTTCTTTTAAATAACTTTCATAAAAATTATAAAAAGTTTTTAAAATTTGCTTAATAATAATTCTAAATGGTTGTAGTTACCTTTTAATTAGTTTTTCATTTCTTATCAGATATTTATTAATTTATAATTTTATAGAAAGTTGTTACATGAACTGCTCCCCAGAAGAATGGGAGTGTAAGATATAAACACAGAACGTAATGTTTCCAGATATCAATTAGAGTGACAAAATGATTAAAAAAAATGTTTTAAAAATATAAACAAATGCATTATAGCTGCAGATGACATAATGATTTTTTTGGACACTTTGCATTTATTATGATGCTTGTCTATCACAACAAAAACATAGTCATTATCAAGTGACAAAGATTCAAGAAGTCAGCACGTGAAAAGTTTACACGTCTTTTTTGTCAAAAATCATTGAGCCATTCATTTATAATAAATAATTTGATCATGATATATCCTATTCTTTATCGCCGATTTCAATATCCACGAATCAATTTATTCTGATCAATAGTTATAACAAGTATACAGTTTGCAAGTAAAATGTATCGTTTACATTGTGTTACATTGTGTACTTTCAAATTTAATTTTCAGGACTCATGTGGAAATATTTTAAGATGCTAAACATGTTTGAGGCTGATTTGATGCTTTGCATCAATTTCACTAGTAATAACTGTTTTACTTGGTGTCAGGAGTGGTGTGGTTTATTACAACTGTTTTATTTGCTGACAGGAGTGGTGGGTTTGATTATGCCAAGGTACTGTCTATTTGGGGACACAGTTAACACAGCCTCAAGAATGGAATCTAACGGAGAAGGTAGGAAACGATATCCTTTTTTGCACTCTTGATTGATATTATAAAACTTACTTTATTTTAATCTTATGTGATTAATTCTCTGTGAATACAATGACTGTTTTATAGGAGGTAAAATTCATATCACAGCGATGACGAGAAATGCATTGCTTGATTTAGGAGGGCATGAGATAACAGATAGAGGGAAAATTTTCATAAAGGTAAGTCATACAGTTTTATCATCTAACCTGAAACATGCGTATAAATTGCTATAAAGTGTGTGTGTTTATATATATATATATATATATATATATATATATATATATATATATATATATATATATATATATATATATATATATATATTATATATATATATATATATTACTGTTTCCCATTTCTTCAAAACTTTATTAATATCTTTATTCCGGTCAAAGAATGAATTGTTTCATGGCTAAAAGTCATATTCAAGCATTTAAGACATCATAGATACATACACTTACATCATTATTAATGATACTTACCCAATTTATATTGAAATAATTCTTAAATAGTAAGTTGGGTTATAAAACTTATTTATAACTAAGAGGGTAAAGTTCTAACTGTTGTCAGAAAGTAAAAAAAGGAAGACCTTTGAAACTCTTATCGAAGACAAAAGGTGCCGTTTTTCAAGTGATATCACTACCCTGGTACAAGAATTTGACTGTTTCCCTTGTAGTCCTGAAAAATGTATAATGCATGTCTTATTTATATATCAATCATTATAATTTTATTGACTGCGTTCGAGGGCAACATGGCTTTTGTCGGACCCAAGAACGAAACTGTTTGCTTGAGGCCGCTAGGCCAAAGGAGGACAGTTTTGTTCGAGGGGCGAGACTACGCATTTTGCCCTAGAACACAGTCAATAAATGTTTTATATCTTTCATTTTTTTCAAATACCTGTATCTAGTGCTGGCTTCCATGATGTAAATTTCCTTTATCTGCACTTCGGGTAAACTCGGTCAATTCCGTCACTGTCGAACACCAACAAATGCAGATGAGATCTAGCTTATCCTGCCCACAGTATGACGTAAGCGGTCCAGTATCTCATCGACAGGTCCAATATCTCACTCCGCGGTCAAACATCAATTTTTTTATGACCGCTAAAACCCTTGAAATGTTAGACTTTTAGTATAAATCTTTATGGTTACAATTTTTTAAAAGTGTAACAAAATAATTTAATGTTTGCAAAGACATTTATTGTTACAAAAGTTGTTCTAACATATTGGTCCTAACCCATTCATCTTCCTAATCTATATTTGAAAGGTCAATTTAAATCATGATTTTACTCCTAGATATTGATTTGACTATCATTCATATAGCCCATGACATGTGAACTTATTTACATGATTAACTGTCTACTAGGCTACGATAATCACGTCAAGGTTTATTCTCGGTGTTAGGAGAGGGACATATGAATAGAAATGAGAAGGATTAAAAAAAAATAGCTACGTAAAACAGAAAGGCCTGAATTTCTATCATGGTAAAGGTTTCCCATAAACTCTTCAAATAAAATGGTAATTAAAACTAAATGACGTCGGAAAATAAAGGGTATATTATCTTGACATTATCTTTATTGGTGTCGATTTCACCTTTCTTACATAATGCTACTGCTTGCTTTCTTATACTAAAGTACAGTTGGCTTATTTTCTGAACCTGTACTCACTAAATCAACTCTTTATAGTCACACTCAATAAGAGATCCACTCAGGGATACAGGTAGAATTCACCTTTATTATCTATATATAAGTGTCCAAATTAAATGCAGCGTTTTCCTGATAAAATTATATACTAAACACAATTTGATTGATTAAAAAATACCTAAAATGAAAGGCACTGAATATTTATTTTTTACCAATGCGCGTTTGAGAAGGAACAACAAGTACATGGAAAGATGTTTAAAGGGGTCAAACTTCCTTTGGTCTATAATTAATAAATATTTTAGTTCAAATACATTTAAAATTTTTAAAAAGAAACATAATTGCACAATATATGAAAAGTGAAAGCATGTTTACTTTTTACAAACATTATCTACATAACACTTGGATTTATCTTTATAAACATCACATTTAAAGCACTGTTATATATTTTTTACACACGGAGAACTTTGTTTTTCAAATCACATTTGGGTCACTATCTATAATATAAATTATGTTAGTACTGTTTTATTTACATTAAATGTAAAGCACTGATATTCTTAGTAATCATATCACGACTGAAACACACGTTAGTAGTTTTTTTCTTCAGATTAAGGGAACTTTAAAATGTTTCATGTCATCAACACTTTTTGTTCACTAATCAATGCAGTAGATGTATTTATACAAAGCTAGGTTCTGAGTCTTTGACCGCGTTCTCTGTTTGAAATGAACAACACGTTAGCCATCTTTGGAGGTGTAGATGAAGAGTGATGCTGCATGGATTTTCATTTTTGTATGTGTGCCGTTTTGTTGCTTTTTTTCCCTTGAGCTCAGAACTTGGATCATGTCTTGAACGAACTTAGCATGTCCTTATCAGAAATTTGCTTTTTAAACCTAACGTTCAAAGTAAACTTATCTTATCAGTTTCACTTCCAATTATTTAAATTTCATGCTGTTACTTGGAATCACTATTCAAAATTCAAAGTGTAGTCATTTGTTTTTAAATTTTTGTATCTTTAACTTGCGCTTCTTGGTAAATTTTTATCAAAATAAATTAATTTAAGACATTAGTTTTATGATGCTAAGTAAAAATTATTTTGAAACTATTCATTGTTCTAATATTTAGAGTTTATGTTTTGAAACCATGATTTTAAGAATAAATGAAAATAAAAAAAAAATATTTAACAGAATAAAAATATTAAACCCATTTAATGGGATATACTGAAAATTAAAATAATATGACAGATAGATAGGTAGATTTTCTATGCAATTATACTCTACCTTTACCCCTTAGAGCCCCCCTTAATTGACTGTAATAGTTAGATATTGGTTTTGGTGAGTAGACATTTGGATAACAGATCCTTGTCGTTTGTTTAAAATAATATGTTCACTGAGACAATAATAAAGAGATACACCTTTTCTTGCAGAATACTAGAAGAGAAATCAAAGAGAAAATAAGGTTCATTTAAGCAGTCATATCTTGTAGTTTATAATAAAATTTAATTAGCTAAAATGTCTCTTATCTAGCAAATTTTAATGTAGTGAAATAAGTTTACTATGTTTACCAAAACTTTAATGTTCTTCATTGATCTTTCATGCTTCTTTGATGACATGTTGATTCGCTGTGAAAGTAAACTATGTATATTTTTGTATCCCCGCTTGAAAATTGGACGTATAGAGTGATAGGAGTTTCAGTCCGTCCATTACACTTGAGGGTAGCCATTCATTATCCGAAACTCCACTGAATGCAATTTCACCACTGAATGCAATTTATTGAATTTTTCCCCGAATTCTTTTAAAATTATATATTTTTTGAAAAATCACACTTTAATTTACCACAGGTTAAATCTTTGATACTTTGATAAACTTTGTTAATTAGTATAGGAATTTGATATTAAATTCAGTGGCATTGTTTCTTATAGACATTATGATGTTCCCTTTTTCATTTTCAGGGAAAAGGAGAAATGAACACTTATTGGTTGGTCAACAAAACAGAAGCTAGCCATAGGAAGTCCTCAGAATCTGAAACGAAAGTGGATTGATTTCAAAAAAAAAAAACAAAAAAAAAAAAAAAAAAACCGCTCTATTATTCCTGAAGAAATTTTTGTATCGTTTTTTGTAAACTGTAAATAAATATTCAGAAAGCTCAATGGGATTGTTAATTCGAAAAATGAATGTTTATAATACAAAATATTGAAAAAGACACAAAGAAAATAATCATTGAGTGAAATAAGTGTTTTGTTATGTTGAAAGATAAATTCATTAGCTTTACCGTTATATATAGGTTTGGAAACCTTTGTTATAATTAATTATTGTCACTTTTTAGCAATATGTATAGAACTAGCATTCTTTTTTTATTACCATGATAAACTTCAATTTCCAACAAACTTTAATTTTTTCTTTAAAAAAATGCTCCGACTAAAACGTTGTATGACAAAAACATTCATAATACTAATTCTGAGTTTCACAATACTTGATTTTTCCCTTCTTTTTGATAGACGTAATCATTGGAAAACTGTTGAGATTTTTCTATCGTTATTGTGAATCTTCTTTCACATTCTGAAATCAGGCGTTATAGGAAAAATAACGAGCAAATCCGTGGGAGAAATTACGTCATGTTATACCGAACCATTGTAGAAATGAAACATATAAACTATATTCACCATATCATTACATTAATAAAGGAGATGTGACCTGAAAACAATAGTCTTTAACAACTACACGATAAATGTCACATGATATCGTAATTGACAGGAAAATAAAACATATGCGTCCATCTCTATTTCAGTTTCACTTCACCAATGATATACAGAAGGAAAAAACAATTGATTTAAAGGCAAAGGGATTTCTCCATCAATTAATTTCTTCCGATTACAGACAATATCTCCGATATCAAGAATACGAAGGGGTTAAGCTACATCATAATAATTAGTAGATCAATTCTCATTGTCTATGTCGCTTGACAAATGAATATTTATGTATTACTCTATGGTTTGTTGATTTATATAAGTTTAAGATATTAATTTTCAAAGATGCTTTAACTTATTTGATAAATTCTCCGTAAAATTACGTATATACCAAACAGAATGATACGGACGCCCGTTGAGGCCAGTTCAGAGAAAGAAATATTTTTTATTGCGTTTAAACGCAAAACATTGCGTTTGATCGCAATAATCATTGCGTTTTATGTATTACTCTATGGTTTGTTGATTTATATAAGTTTAAGATATTAATTTTCAAAGATGCTTTAACTCATTTGATAAATTCTCCGTAAAATTACGTATATACCAAACAGAATGATACGGACGCCCGTTGAGGCCAGTTCAGAAAAAGAAATATTTTTTATTGCGTTTAAACGCAAAACATTGCGTTTGATCGCAATAATCATTGCGTTTAAACGCAAAAGATTGCGTTTAATCGCAATGTATATTGTGTTTAAACGCAAAACACTTTGCGTTTAATCGCAAAAGATTGCGATTAAACGCAATTTTTTGCGTTTAAACGCAATAACTTTGCGATTAAATGCAATAGTTTTTGCGTTTAAACGCAATAATATTTTTGCGATTAAACGCAATAGTTTTTGCGTTTAAACGCAATACTTTTGCGATTAAACGCAATACTTTTGCGATTTAACGCAATAATTTTCCGATTAAACGCAATAATTATTGCGTTTAAACGCAGTAATTTTGCGTTTAAACGCAATACTTTTGCGTTTAAACGCAACAATTTTTGAGTTCAAAGGCAATTATCTCTGTGTTTGAAGGCAGTCATTTGTATCAAATCTTGCAGAGTACAATGGACCCACGCATACTTATATCATATCTTTTATTTTTTTCTCTTTTTACTTATGAGGAAATTGCGTATTGTTTAGCTTTATAGAATCAGATTTCTCCGAGCAAACGCTCTCTGAAAGGATAAATCACTAATAAAAATTTATAGAGGAGAAAAAAAAAAGTCGGATTGTAAAAACAAAGGCAACCTAAGAAAGAGACATGTCTTAAGCTTATTATTCTCTACATTCTAAATGAAGTTTTGGTCAGTTGCTCTGTTAAAAAACTGTCCCTTACGTTGCGGTCACAAGCTTAACCCATGTATAAAGGGAATTTTGGAAATACAACATGATGAAGTATTTAGACTTAAATGTACATTCATAACCTTTCCTATGGTTGCATACATTTAACACACATATGTGATGGATTTATATGAGATCAAAATCAAAATCAAATGAAAACATAATGATCGATGTGCACTACATGTATCAAATTGACAAGTGCTATTAATACCACTGAAACATTCTCTATAAGTTGTGATATACGTAAGCAATTGATCAGAGACTTTATTAAGAGTTTTGGGTTCTAATACACTTAAGACATTCAGGTTGTTAGGATGCCATTGTTTTTCACTACAATTTTCAAAAACTGGAAAAAATTTTGCAAAAAGACACAGAACAAATCGGATCTTCTTAAAGTTGAAGTGTCGAATCCTAGTACATGTACATGAAATTATAAGCTTTGACGAATTCATGTTTGATTTTGAAGCTACAGTATCATTGTGTTTAAATGCAAAACAGATCCTTATAAGGAAGGATTATTGCGTTTAAACGCAAAAATTATTGTGTTTAATCGCAAAAATTATTGCGTTTAATCGCAATACTATTGCGTTTAATCACAAAAGTATTGCATTTAATCGCAAAAATTATTGCGTTTAAACGCAAAATGTATTGCGTTTAATCGCAAAATGTATTGCGTTTATTCGCAAAAGTTTTGCGTTTAAACGCAAAGTGTTTTGCGTTTAATCGCAATCTTTTGCGTTTAAACGCAAAGTGTTTTGCGTTTAAACGCAATATACATTGCGATTAATTGCAATCTTTTGCGTTTAAACGCAATGATTATTGCGATTAAATGCAATGTTTTGCGTTTAAACGCAATAATTATTGCGTTTAAACGCAATGAAAAATATTTCTTTCTCTGAACTGGCCTCAACGGGCTTCCATAGAATGATGCTAATCTTAAAATCTAATACAACAAATAGTTTTCAGAAATATATTTTTCTTTATTAAATCACTTTCTTTACAGTCACACATATGCACCACATTTTTTTCTGGAAAAGAAATTATATAATGGTTTACATAAAGCGGTAAACTTTGATTTATTTGTATCAATATTAAGCAAAGCAAACGTTACACGAAGGCAGCTGTTTATTTAAAAAAAGTGTAAAATCTACATTCACTCAAAGTTAGGAATACGACTTTTGAAATTCAAAATATTAAGTTCAAAGGTAGCATTTTGCATTTTTCTTTGCCTCAATCAATTAGCATGTATTCATTATCTTTTTCTTTGACAAATAAGTTTTTAAAATGTATATGTCAATTACACAGGCAAGGAATCCCAACAGTAACTGGGGGACCCTTCTCGTTATCTACTGAGTTTAGAGATTTTAAAAATGAATATTTTGTAAGTGTATAGCTTCTATTCCTGCAAATGAATTTACTCCTGTTTTCATTATCATTTACCTTAATAGAAGTGTACAATTAACATGTATCAAAAGGCTTGATAGCTGTTGATTTTTACCTTTTGTATGGACTATGTTTTTGGACGACAGGAGGAATTGCCTTTAGAAAGTTTACATTCAATTTCGGTGATTTTTATGGGTTTAATTATGAATAATGCTTTATCATTTGGAAGAACGATTTTGAAATAATAATGATGGAAACGGAGATACTCTAATTGGAAATCATTTACAATTTGAGGGCAAAAATAGACATGGATGAACAATCATTGGAAAAAATAAGTGAAAAAAAACCGAGGTAAGTAAACTATGCTTTATCTGGTATGATTTATTTTTTTTGGTAAGAAACAAATAGCTAAAAAATAAAGAATTGAGTTTAAACATCGATGTGAACCACTGAAAGCAAGGAAACTGATTATTAGATGTATTCCATCAAAAGAGGGGATTGATAAAACGGAAATAAAAGAGGTGAAAATAAGGAACAGTGATCGATCTCAGAAAATCTACAAACAATACAAATCTGTATACAGATAAAAATACTGACCCAGAAAATCTACAAACAATACAAATATGTATACAGGTAAAAATACTGACCCAGAAAATCTACAAACAATACAAATATGTATACAGATAAAAATACTGACCCAGAAAATCTACAAACAATACAAATCTGTATACAGGTAAAAATACTGACCCCGAAAATCTACAAACAATACAAATATGTATACAGGTAAAAATACTGACCTCTGAAAATTCCAGAGGTGGGATAAGGTGTCTAGAAGAACTTCAAATCCTCTGTCCATCGGTCATGCCCGCCCTGAACATTTTTTATCAGATAGACGGAGCAATTGTTAGTCAAATGTAGTAAAAAAAAAAAAAGAAAAAAAAAGAAGCATAACAGTTGAATTGAAATAATCGATTGTTTTTGATGAGCTTAATGTAGATTAAGACATCACAATAACAATATGAATGATAATAAGATATAAATTCCCGCCAATTGTTAGACTTTTGTTTTAACATCAATTTGACTAAGGGCAAGTCCTAAGTCCTAGACATCTGATCCTATCTCGGGGTTTCCAGAGTTCTGTGTTTTCACCTGTTCACGATTTGTATTCGTTACTGTTTGAGATTCACCACTGTTCGTTATCTTCACATTTTAAACGTAAAACAACGCCTAAGGCTACACAGAGGAGATAATATCAAACGAAATCCAATACAAAATTACAAATTTCACAGGACGAGGTAACAACAGACTGTAAGAAATATACATAAAGAATCCAAATAACACTAAGTCACCTGTAGCTAACTTGATAAATACTTTCTTTTGAAAAAGTTAATATGAGAAAAAATTCAATTTGAATTCAATTTGAATCATCCAAATTGCTGAATGTAATGTACAAACTGACAAAGAGTTCATATTTAAACAAGTAACATTCTTCCTAAACTTAGAAATCAATGTCTTAAACGATATAGAAACTATCTTCTATATCTGAAAATCTTTGTATAAATTAGTTCTTTAGACATCCGCTTTTTT